GCACGGCCCGGGCTGTGGCGGCGGCGGAAAGGCCCTCGCGGTGAATTCGCGCGAGGCGCGCTCAGGCGGCGCTTGCTGTTGGCAGGTGTTTCCTGCTGTCCACGCGCAGCCCTGGGAGGACGGGACCAGCTAACCCTCATTTTCTGAGTGGGTCAGCTGAGGGCCCCGGGGGACTTAAATCGCTGTGCAAAATCGCCAGGGCCCAAACAGCAGGACTGTACTGGGTTCATTTGTTCACCGTCTCCTGAGCACCTACTGTATACCTGGCCCTGTGCAGTCACGGGGGAGCCTCTGAGAACCGAGGCAGACCCCCCAGATCAAGCCCGCGGATGTTTGGGGGTGAGGGCTGTGCTAATTAAGAGCCCAGTGTTTTCAGCCACTGATCTTCATTTCCCTTTGGCGGTTCACACCCAGCTGCCTTCTGGCTGCGGCCCTTTTGGTTGTTAAAAGAGACTCGGCTCCACGTGTTCTCTAAGACGACTGGGTGTTAAGGGTCCAGAGGGTTTGAATCCCACCAGGGCCTCAGTTTCCTCATCTGTAAGGGGGGCTTGGGCTACACCTGGGCTGCCTGTCCTGACTCCCCCGAGCCCGATGCTGCCAGGCCTTGGTTTCCCCGCCAGCCAGAGGGGAGCCTGGCCTGGGCAGCCGTTGGAATCCGGGTGTTGAAAGGTGACCACAAACAGCCCCTGGGGGACGGGAAGAGGGGAAAATGGGGCAATCACTCTTGTGTGCCTCCTAGGGGGTAGGAGCAGGAAGGGGTGTCCTGGGAGACCCTGGGGGTCCAGGAGAGCGTCTGGGGAAGTATCAGGATCAGGGTGCGGTCATTCTTTCCAAATATCCTCTGTGGTGGAGATGGTGCGAGGCCAGCTGTGATGGCACGTTGCTCAGCAGGGGGCCTGGACTTGATCCTGGGCCACTAGGGAGCCATGGGAGAGTTTAGAGCAGGCAAGAGGGACTGAGCACACCAGGTGTGGCTCAAAACCTCTTGCACATATTAACCCACTGGATGTGCACCACAGCTCTCTGGGGAGGGCTGTTCATGCCCTCGGGCATGGAGAGGGAAGCTGAGGCCAGAGAGGGGACCCTGGAGTCACCCCACTGGGGAGGGATGGACCTATGGGCCCAGGAGTCAACTGAATCCCCCACTGTGCTCTGGGCAGGCTGGCTGGCCCGGTGCAGGGCAAGGAAAGGGTAGGCGGCAAGCTGGGGCCTCAGGAGGGGCAACGCACAGGCAGGGTCCATGGAGGGTGGGCAGGGGAAACAGGCTGGGGGGACACTGGACTGAGGCAGAGGCCTGGGGGCTGTGCCAGGGACACAGCTAGACAGAGGCAGGGCCGTGAGACTCGACAGGGGCCAGGCCTGAGTCCAGGACCCCGGCATTTAAGCTGGGCAGGGGACCTGAAGTCCACCCTGACCCCCACTCCCTACACCCTCCACAGCCCTGGCCTGGAAGAGCCCCCCAAAGCCCGGCACGGACTGGTGTCCCGAGACGTGAGGGACCATGACCGTTCGCAACCTCTTGGTTTCACCTTGGAAATAGATCCTCTTCTTAAAAATGAAGGTGAAACTCACAGAACATAAAATCATCCATCTTAAAGCATCCCCTCCAGTGGTTTTGGGAACATTCACAGAGTTGTGCAACCATCCCCACAGTCTAATTCTAGAACATTCCATCTCCCCTAATAAAACCCCATGTCCTTCCACTATTATCCCCCTAAGCCCCTATCCCCACAGCCCCTGACAGGGCATGATACATAATGAATACTTTTTACCTACAGGATTTTTATCCGTGGGCACCTGTCTGGGTCACCCTCCCGCCCTCAGTCTGTACGTCTGTACAGTGGGCAGGCACGGCTGTGGGGGCCCCCAGAGCCACATGGTGCTTGAGAGGTTGTGGCCCCTTCCCATTTTGAAGCAGGGTCTTTGGAGATTTCAGGCACCCAGGACCTGAGCAAGAGATGAGGCCAAAGGGAGAGAAAAACAAGGCTGAGTATCCACCATACATAAAAAATTCTTATAACTTAACAACAAAAAGACAAACAACCCAATTAAAAATCGGCAAAGGACGTGAGCAGCTACTTCTCCAAGAAAAATACACAAGTGGCCAACATGCTGTGAAAAGACTCTCAAGATTATTAGTTATCAGGAAATGCAAATCAAAACCACACTAAGACACCACCTCATACCCACGAGGATGGCTAGAATGAAAAAGGGAAAAAAACACAGTGCTGGCGAGGAGGTGAAGAAATTGGAATCTCAGGCACCGCTTGCGGGGAGTGAGATGGTGCGGCTGCAGCGGAGTCTGGGAGCGCCTGAAGACGTTCGGTGCCAAATTATCACATCACTCTGCAGTTCCACCCCAAGGCCTGCACCCAGAAAACAGAAGACAGGTACCCAGACAACTGTGGGTGCATGTTCCCAGCAACATGGTTCACAGCAGCCAAAGGTGGGGCCCAACCCAAATGTCCTTCAGTGAAGGAAAGTGCCCCTCCCCACATGAGAATATTATTGAACAGAAGAGAAGCCCTGACACTTGCCACCACGTGGACGGACCCTGATGACACGGTGCTCAGGGAGAGAAGCAGACACAGGAGGACACACAGCGTGTGACTCCATAGATGTGAGGCGTCCAGAAGAGGCCAGTCCACAGACACAGGGAGGGGGCTCCTAGTTGTCAGGGGCTCGGGAGGGTGGGGGGTGACTGTTGGTGGGGACGGGGCTTCCACTGGGGTGATGGAATGGTCTCAGATTGTGATTATGGTTGCATAACTGTGAAGATACTAAAAAACCATTGAATCACACGCTTTAAATGAGTGAACTGTGTGATGTGTGAATTATATCTCAATAAAGCTGTTTGTAAAAAATTCAAAACAGTGAAACAGACACATGCCACAGCCAGCTGGACTCAGCCCGGCCTGCCGCCTCCAGCAGGCCCCGTGGGCAGCGGACTGGCATTCCAGATTCTGCTGGAGAGCAGGTGACTGCCCTCTCTCCTGGGGGGCGGCCCACAGTGCTGAGGGGAGGACGGGGCCCAGGGCAGGCAGTTGGCCTGGGCCAGGCAAGCCCCAGGAGCAGTTGGCTCTGGAGACCTTGGGCAACTTCCTCTTTTCCCACTGGGAGGGACTGGCCTAGGGGTGGGAAGTGGTTGCCACGGGCCTGGGTATAAGGGCACCACCTTCACCACCACCCTGCAGCCTCATCATGCCAGCACTCAGGCTCCTGGGCCTGCTGGCCGGCCTGCTGGCGACCTCTGCAGCCGGTGAGTGCCCACTCCATGCCCGGCATCCCGTGTCTCTGCTGGGGTCCAGTTGTAGGGGAGAGGCCCAGCAGGGAGGGACCAGCTGGCCCCAGGGCCTGCTTCCCCAGACTCAAGAGAAGGAGAGCAAGCCAGCCCAGGCCACACAGCCAGAAGCTCCCTGAAGGACATGCCTCAGTCCTTTTAGGGAACAGGGTGGTGGGGGGAGTCTGGGCTCTCCCTAAGGACAGGGCTGAGGCTGAAGGGCTGCACCCTTCCCTCCCCAGGCGCGGCCCCCCTGGTGGACATCGTGGGTGGCAGAAGGGCCCAGCCGCAGCAGTTCCCCTTCCTGGCCTCCATCCAGAACCAAGGGAAGCACTTCTGCATGGGCTCCCTGCTCCACCCCCGCTTCATCCTGACAGCAGCCAGCTGCTTCCGCAGCAGGTGAGGAGGGGCCCTGGGGTGGAGACTGGGCTCAGAGAGGGAGACGTTGCGGGAGATTCCTAGGGGTCGCCTGATAGGGGAGGAGGGGCGGGGCTTGGCCAAGGGGAGGGTTCTCCGGAATGGGTGAGGGGCTCAGAAAGGGACATGGGAGCCTAGGACGGGCTTGATCTGGACGCCGAGGGGAGACAGGCTGTGGAAGGAAGGAGGCCCGACCATCACCGCTGTCCTCCCCTGGGCTCCGGAGCTGCGGGCTGGTGATTCCCTGCCTTATTTGCAAGCCTGCAGGGCCCAGGGCCCAGGGTGGGGATAGAAGGTTGGGGGCTTCCCCGCCAGCCCCCAGGGCTGCCCCAGCTTGGTGTCTTCCCCCTCTGCCCCCACCTGCTCTTAGGAACTCTGGGATTGCCACTGTGGTGCTGGGTGCCTATGACCTGAGGCGGCGTGAGAGGACCCGGCAGACCTTCTCCATCAGGGGTGTCAGCGAAAATGGCTATGACCCCCAGCAGAATCTCAACGACGTGCTGCTGCTGCAGGTGTCGGGGGAACGGGCGGGGGCGGTGGGTCGACCTGAGGGGCTAAGGAGGGAGGGGCCACGGGTCCAAGCCTGGCGTTCTGTTTCCTCTGGCAGCTTAAACCACAGAGCAAAACGCACAATGCATTCGTCTGTCCTCTAGTTGGTGGACACGTTAAGTTATTTCCAGATGTTTCCGTTAGGACAGAATCACAGTGAACCTCTCTGTACATATTTCTTTGCAAAACTTTCTGCAGAGCAGCCACAGAAGCTGGGCTAACTTACCCTCCTGCAAGCAGAATTTGAAACTCCCCATTTCTCCACATCTTAACTGACACTGGGTATTTGATTTAAAAAAAATTTTTTTTCTGCCAGTTGTGATGGGGCGGAGGAGAGGGGCATGGTGCCTTGTTTTATCTGCATTTCTTCGGCAAGCTTTTCACCTTCCGGCTCTCTCAAGGGTGTTTGTGGTAAGAATGATTGATTCTTCTTTTTCTGCAGTGGAGAAACTAGAGGTCCAGAGAGGTAAAGTCACTTGGCCAGGATCCCACAGCAGGTTACTGCCTCAGCTGGGATTTGAACCCAAACCACTTTACATACCAAAATGCATGTTGCCGCTATTCTGGCTCTCAGCTGGGCCCCACGAGGCTCTGGTCTCCAGTTCCGCCCTCTCCTGACCGCGTCTCCCTCCCCAGCTGGACCGTGAGGCCAACCTCACCAGCAGTGTGGCGCTGGTGCCGCTGCCCTCCCAGGACGCCATGGTGGAAGCCGGCACCAACTGCCAGGTCGCAGGCTGGGGGAGCCAACGGCCTAGAGGGAGGCTCTCCCGCTTCCCAAGGGTCCTCAATGTCACTGTGACCCCCTCAAGCCGGTGTCGCCCCAACAACGTGTGTACTGGCGTCCTCACCCGCCGAGGCGGCATCTGCCAGGTACGGGTTCCTCATGGTGGGAGGAGGGGTCTTGAAAGGTGGTGAGCTCTCCGAGGTGGGAGAAAGCAAATCTAGGACAAGGGTCCTGGGATTATGTGTGGAGTCAGAATGGGATGTTTCAAACACTGGAGCATCTTACCAGCATGAGAAACAGTATTCCTTAAACACTGCACTCCAAGCCCCGTGCTGGGGGCTGGAGACACGGCCGGGAGCAGGACGGGCAGGGCCTGAGCTTTTGAAGCAGGAGCCCCAGACCTTGTCAGGACAGGGGCATGCCCAGGGCACATCCAGCCGGGGTGTCAGGAAGTTCCCAGAGGCAAGCGGGACCTGAACTTCAAGCAGGAATTAAAGCAGCACTGGCGAGGGACAAGCCTGCAGGGAGTGGGGGCAGCACGTGCAGAGGGCCACGGGCAGGAGCAGGCAAGGGCTCCAGGCGTCAGAGCAGTGGCTCTGGGCAGCGAGAAGCAGGGGAGCTGGGCCTGGGGCGCCCTGACTCGCCTGTCTGTCCCCCACCCAGGGAGACGGGGGCACCCCCCTTGTCTGTAACGGCCTGGCGCACGGCGTGGCCTCCTTCTCCCGTGGGCCCTGCGCCAGGGGCCCTGACTTCTTCACCCCCGTGGCGCTCTTCAGAGGCTGGATTGATTCAGTTCTAAACAACCCGTTGGATCAGCACCATCCTGACAACAGACCCCCAGGCGAGCCAGTGG